GAAGCATGTGAAAGTTTCGCACCACAATTAACAGATCGAACGATGCTTCACATGAGCATGAAAGCCGATCGCGATTCGAGTGGATCGATTTGAATCGATTGATACCTCTGGGGGCGGCACAAGAGCAGCTCTGGCTGCTGGCCGTAAATGACGAGCAGATACCCTATATTGTGGGCGCTGCATTGATGTAGATGAAATTGGAATATTTTCGTTTTTTGACATTTCAATATCAAAGTTCTAAATTCATTGATGAATAATTAAATTGAATTGATCTAAATTAATAATTAATTTTTATATTATTATTTCGTATTGAAATAAACAGTGGAGCTGTTTTTGTCTAATTTTTTTTTAGTTTTTAAGCATGATTAAATATTGAAAAAATATTTTAAAAATAAATAAATTCATTTTGTATTAGTTTAAACATCATACTAAAAACCAGCGTTTAATTTTTGTTTATATGCCCAATGGCTTAGATTTTATAGACCAACCAAATTTGTTTGAGGTGCTGGTTGAAACAAGCTGTGAAGCACTGTATGATATATGGATATATAGCTAAATAGATCAGTGAGTACATATGGATAGGAGAGATTAGGGTTCAGCTAATGGATATTTAAAAGATTATGAATTAAATACTTAATGCCTAAGTATAAATCAATATTTATAGCACTCAAGTGAGGCAGAGACTAAAAGATCTCAGCATATGCTGAGACGTTTCCCTTTGCCTCTGACTTAAGACTGAGCTTAGGCCATTTCACGTTTATAAAGGTTTTCCGTATTCGACGGATCCAGCTGGCAACCCTACAACCCTTTTTATTATAAGAGAAAACACAATTACTTTGATGTCTCTCTCAAAAGACATAGGGCTGCCAGATGGCTGCATCTAATACGAACAACCCTGTCTAAGCAAAAACACAGAAAATATGAATCCCTTCGCAGGAATAACTTCTTAAATCAATTTCAAAAATGCCATTAGATGAATTTGCCTCGCCCAGAACCAAAGCTGAAACTTTGCTCCGAGAAGATTTTGGCACACATCTAATCAAATTTGTGGGCCTACCCTTTGCCTTTGGATCCCATTGTCTGCTGCAAGTGGAGCTGGATGCCAGAAATGAAATTAGTATTGGCAAACTTTTGAGTTCAAAATATGCAACAGTCAATTGGATTAGCACACGTCTAACCATATGCAGAGAGAGAGAGAGAGAGAGAGAGAGAGAGAGAGAGAGAGGTGTATATGTGTATACAATTAATTTTTTTGCATGTGGCCCATGGGAAAGTGTTTTTCATATTGTTTATTTAGTTTGCAGCGCCTAGGAACGAGTGCTACGAGTGCAGTCAATGGGCAGCCGAGTGCGCCGTTGCACTTTGGCTTTGCTGCAAATTGGCAATTGCAACAGAAATGTGGCAATGCGGCGGCCATTTGCCATTTGGGCCTCGAATTGCCATAGCGGCTTATGCAACACATTTTGCCAAATGAATTGTTCGGTAAATCAATTTGCATATTGCGCGACGCATTTTGCGAGCCCATCATGCCACGCACACTGACACACACACACACACGCACACACACACACACTGATACACTCAGTGAAATGACGATTTACAAAATATTTTTGTGTTCACACTCAATTAATGCCAATTGACTGCGAAATTGCAAACACCTTTGACACGTTTTCATTTGCCATGTGAAGCAAATGGAAATGTGCAAACAATTCAAATGTATGTGTGTGTGTGTGTGTGTGTGTGTGTGTGTGTGTGTGTGTGTGTGTGTGTGTGTAGGGTAGTTGATTATATAGAGCAGGCATTTTGGAGAAGGCAGCAAAGGCAGGCAGGCAGGCTGGATATGCTTCTATCTATGTTTAGTTAGCTTTCTTGTTGTTGTTGTTGTTGTTGGCAGCGCTGTAAAGTAAATCAATAATAAATTGTCGCATGCAAAATTCATGAGACAATTCACAGTACAACAACAACAACAACAACAACAACAGCAAATGTATCAATAACCCAGCGGACAACCGCAGCAAATTATTGACATTTTGAACGCAATTGAACTCTTGCCGCATAAATTAAGTAAGACATATAAAAAATAAAAAAACAACAAATAAAAAAAAATAACACAAAATAAATGGCAGAAGAAGAGCTTCAATATACTCGCTTTAAATTGAATTAAATGTAGCTGCTTAATTGATAAATAATTATCATTGTTATTACATTAAACGACTTGACCCACACTGCGAACTACAACGAGCCACCGAGCACCACCAACTATTTTCATTTTTATTTAAAAATATATATATATTTTTTTTATTATTTATATTTACTTTCATTTTTTTGCAATTTACGCTGACTTTAAAGAATTTTGCTGGGGGTGCCAGCAGGTCTAAGCTCAATGATACCCTGTAATTATATATTGTGGAGGGGAGAGTTTTAATGGGATTAAAAATTAAAGTGGATGGATGAGACAAGGCTTTAATATCTAATAAATTATTTACTACTTGCCAGACTATTAAAAATTAATATCTAAGGCTTCAGTACATACTCCAAACTATTTTATGATTATTAAAATTCTGGGTTAGCTTGAATAGCTAAAAATACGCAAAATTGATCCTAAGACTGAAAATACAATATATCATACAATATAACTGAGGGAATGAACAAAGTTCTTATAACAAAAACCAAGTAAGCTCAACATAACCGAGAATATACAACATATATTACATAAATAGAGTATACATACAAGAACCTTCGAGAACCTAGCAACTCGAGTTGATAATATAGAAATACTTTACGCAAGGCAAATTAAGCCCAAAAGCTAGACATATGTTAAACAGATATAATGAGAAACATGGAATAGTTCTGTATAGCTGTAAACTAGTTTAAGCACATCCAAATTTCCGCATTCCCATCCAACTCCATTTATTTGCATTCAATATAAAAAGCATTCCTCTTTAACTCCTTATACCTTCTTATACCTATCTCATTATATTATTACTGGATAACTATATCCAAAGACAAGTTTATTATTCTTTACAAAAACTTTAAGAGTAATATGAATAACGATTCCTTATATTGTATATCAAAATAAGTATATGAAACATTCGTCGATATTCTAGTACTTGGAAACAGTTGGCCTTGTCAGATTTAAGGCCTGAGTTGCCAGAGCGCTTGAATATGTTTTAGACCAGGTGGCAGCATCGATCGACTCGTCGCCGACTCATTCGTTATGCATTCATTCACAATATTTTAAAACTAAAAACCATTTCCCTTTATTTATTTATTTAAATGTGGTAAATGCCTTTATGATAATTTCTATTTCAATTCCACTTTGATCTGGCTAAAAATAAATAAAGTGTTACAGATCTGGCAGCGCTGCGTGAATTGAATTGGATTCTGCTTACATTATCGCACTTGGACTTCTTCACATATGCAGATGGTATGGGCTTTTCCATATGTATGAAATACATACATATATATATATGTACATATATATGTGATGTAATGATGAGTTGCGTATAGATACCCTGTAGAAGAGAGTTCTTATAGGATATGACATTCCAGTTGGAACCCTATATTGGAATGTGTGGAGTCCACTTGTAGACTCGATGATGTACTCTCTCTCTCTACCTCATTCTCTCTCTCTCTCTCTCTCTCTCTCTATCTCTCTCTCTCTCCCTCTCTCTCTCTCCCTCTCTCTCTTCATGACATCGATAACAATCGTATAAGATATCGGGAAGCACTTTAAAGAGGCATTACAATTGCCCCACTTAACTGTGAGTCGAGCATACCCGAATTTTCTGCAGAGCTCGAGCCGTTCAGGGGCAAGTGCCAGCGGCTGCAACAGGGGCAAGTGCGTCAGCGACGGTGGCTGCGCGCTTTATTATTATTATTCATTCTGTCACACACACACACACACATTCTGTATTCCGAGTGCTCACTGTACGTCGGGCACATGGTCAGTTATCTGGCCGCACGGCAATCGCTTCCGGGTGCGCGGCATTCGACTCTCGCAGTGAGACGGTGCGACACAGAGACACATCGAGACACTGAGGCAGTGGCAGCTGGAGGCCACCTTGGCCGCATGTCTGGCATTAAGCGGGGGCAGGGGCAGGGGCAGCACGGTTAGTGGGCCCTTGGGGGTGGCTGGGCGGTCATATTAGGCATGCAGCCCTGGTAAATGCAATTAAATGCAAATCGCGCAGAGAGCGCTGCTTGGATAACCCCGTTAGCGCTTCGATTCGATTTCGACAGCTCAGCGAACTCGGGCTCCAGCTCCACTTGAAATTCATTGCGAGTATCCAATATTATTGTGTGTGTGTATGTTTTTTCGGGTTTCGTTTATATACATATATATGCTGTTGTAGTTGACTTTATTTTAATTAAAATTATGTCAACGCAATTGAAATGTTATTGAACCAATTTAATAGCGCCGAGAGTTCATTAATTTGGATTTTGTAATTTTTATGCCGATGCACAGCAGCAGCAACTGTTGCTGTTGCTGCTGCTGCTGCTGCTGCTGCTGCTGTCGATTGGCAATATTTATGCATGGCGAGCGAACATTTCGGCGCAGTCGCGTAATTTATGGCACTTGTGATAAAGAAAAACTCTGCCAGAAAATGCATTTGCAGCAAAAAGAAAAAAACACACACAAATAAATTCAATAAAATGAAATGAAATGAAATGAAATAAAATAAAATAAAATTGAAAAAAATGCGAGTAAACAATTGTGTTTAATCAACTAAAACAGCAGCGCGAAAAACGAAATCGAACAAATGAAGCAAAGCAAAATATTTATAGTGAAATAAATTTCAATCAGCAGGCGAACGCAACCCATTCACAATTATGCAGCGCGACTGTCTGCCCCCTGTCACCTCCCCCTGCTCCAACTGCCCCCTCCCTTCACATTTCAATATTTATCAGCGCGAAAACAACAAATTAACAAAAATCCAAAAAATATTCATCAATATTTATGTGGATGCCGTATATTCATATATTATTACACTACTCACCCCAGAAGCAGGCGACATAAATGTCAAATGGCAGCGGGAATACCAAATGCAGCACCAACACTTTTTTTTTTTGCACTGAAGTGTGGCTGACAATCCTGGCGCAGGATGTGTGCGTATCTCCCTTCTCTCTCACTCTCTCTCTCTCTCTCTTTCTCTCAGACGGACAAGCTGCGGGATGGCTGCAAAAAGGGGGAAATGGGAAAACAAATAGAAGAGTCAGCAAATGATAATATTATAATCAACTTTAAATACATTTTCTGCAATTCATAAGCTAGTCAAAGGTTTTTGTGTCTTTAAAGTTGCTTAAATGCAGCTGTAGGCTTCAAAAGCTCATTAGAGTTGTTTTAAAGCTAAGCTTAAAGCACTTGAGCTTAGAGACTTGAAGTAGTTACATAGCAAGAATTTTTTTAATTTTAGAAATTAATGTATATGAATTCAAAGCTTTTCCTCATTTCTAATGTGCTTCAGCTTTTGCTTTCTTCGTAATGAAAATTGATCAGATTAACTTAAGTCAAAGCTTCATTATGCTGAAAGCTTCACTGGCAGGAGTCGAGCAATGCGAATGAAAAGTTACTTTAAAGACTTATTCAAGTGGCTTTAAAAGCCTATTCTAAAGATCTAGATACTTAAAGTAGTTTCATGACAAGAATGTTCTTAGTTTCATAAATTGATGATGAAAGCTTTAAATTATTTACAATGTGCTTGAGCTTTCGTCTTCTTCATAATGCAAATTGATAAAAGCGCCTTAAGACAAACTTATTTAAAACAAATTTAAGTTACATTAGAAGTAAAATCTAGAGATCTAGAGATTGGAAGTAGTCTTAAAGCCCCAAATTTGTATATGTTTTGATATAACAAACTTGTTCTATTCTTAATGTGCTTTAGCTTCCATGAGCTTTATTTTATACTAAAAGCACTTCATATTAAATGTGCTTTTATAGAGGTTCGCTACGTTATTTCAGAATTTCGATATACAAATTTTAGTATATTAAGAAAATACTTTAGCTAGACGATTTTGAAACTTGGAAATGTTTGCTAAGTGCTTTCATATCAGCATTTTATAAATGTGTGTATATATTTTTGACTTCTTGTAACACAAGACCAAAACAAATTTGTAAATGCGCAAATGTTTTGCGTCTATTTGCGACGATTGTTGCCGAGAGGAAGTACGGCTGTGGGTGTAGGGCGTATCAGATACATATATACACATAAAATAGACTTATATCTGTATATACATATACCCCATTTAAAAGACCTTGAGTATAATTCCAGTCAGAGCTTACATAAAATTTGACACAACAACCAAATCGAGTCGTGATTAAAGCTGTTTATATAGAAATATATATATGTACATATATAGTAAATAAGTATGTATGTATATGTAGTACTCCCGTTTATCAGTGGATGAGTTTCTCTGGAATATTGTAGAAGCTGCGCTCAAGTTAAATAGCTTTAAGCTCTGGCTCGTTTCCCATTTGCCATTTCCTGGCAAATTTTGACCCATGTGCGCGGGACTGGCGCATCGAAATGTTTTGGCTCTCTTTCTGCTTCGCCTTCGTTTCGATTTTGCCGTGCAGCGGCATTCGATGTAACAAATCCAGTTATTTGTTGAATTTGACAGTTTAATTCTACGCCTCGATGAGCGTTCGCCCGAATCGATGTCAGCCAACGTAAAGGAACCAAAAACAACAACAACAACGAAATGAAACGGACGCCATATGCCTCAGCCAGTGTCGACCCTAAACATGCCACGCCCCCCCGCGCACGCAACGCTTTGTGTCTATTTCAATCTTTATTTTGGCTGCCGTTGATTTGAAATCAAACAGGTCTCTGCCATTTCAACTTGACATTCAATTTGTCGGCCCGCAGACCAAGGACCAAGGATCACTCACGTTCGTGCGTTCGTACACTGCGCCAAATTGCAATCGAATTTCAGAGAAAAACTACAGAGAGAGAGAGAGAGAGAGAGAGAGAGAGACACACACACACATACAGAGATTGTAAGTAAGTCAGCAGCAAATAGCCAAGTTAAAAGCATGCCAAGCCATAAAAGTAAAATTTGCATTCGGCTGAGAAATTTCTATGAGTGGACACCAGATTTTCGAGTTACCCATGGGCAAGGGTTGGCGCTGTGGGCCACAGCAATGGTGAAAACTTGTACCAAAAAAACAAAAACAAACAAAAACAAAAACAAAAGACAAAAAAACAACAACAACAACAAATCAGGCAAGCGCTATAAAAACAGCAAAACGCAAATCAAGAAAGATAATAAAAATTGAACAATAAAAGAAGAGAGCCAACAAAAACAACAACAACAACAACAACAGCAGCAGCAGCAACAGCAACAGTAAAGCAAAGGCAAAAAAAAAGTGAAAAAGCAGCAACAACAACAACAACAATAACAGTAACGGGCGGCGTCAAGTGCCAAAAACACGTTTAAATGTCACAAATGTAACTCCCCAGACGACAACAACAACAACAACGACAACAACAACATCGACAACAACTATAACTGCAACAGCTGCAGTCGCCGCGGCGCCGATAAAGCAACAAAAATCAAATTAGCGCCAAGCAATGTCGCCACAGTCGACGCCTACGCCGACGCTGACGCTGACGCCAACGGCGCAGCTTCTGCCTTTGAGACGTTTGCAATCATCTCACAATTTTTTGTCGACGTCTTATTAATTTTTGTGGCATTTCTGCAGATTGCTGTTGTTGCTGCTGTAGTTGTTGTTGCCTTCGTTACTTTTTTATTGCTGTTCATAATTTGCGCTTATGCAAAGACAACAGCAACAACAACAACAACAACAGCAACAACAACAACCGCAACAGCAAAAACCTAAATGCAAAAATAAATAAAATACTTTTAAATTAAACGCAAATTTTGGACTTGTTTTCTTCTGGCCATAAAAAATATAATGAAGAAACAGAAGAGGAGGAGGAGGAGGAGGAGAAGCGAGAAAAAAAACAACAGCAACAAAACGGCGACAGCAGAAATAAATGATTATAATATCATTATTGCCAAGTGCGTTAAAATTTATGAGCAATGAAAACTTTTCACTGCTGCCTCCGCTCCAGAAGGGTTATCCGGGCAAACAGCGCCGAAGTCGGACTTGCAGTTCATAAAACAAGTCCATATCAAGCCACAGAAGTTGCGCCACTTCATAATTCCGAGGGGAATACTTGCTTGCTGTTTTTTTTTTTTTTTTGCTAGCTTAACAATTCCGAAGGCAAAGTGTAGAAGTTGTGTTAGAGGACATTTGAGACACGAAAAGTGAATAGTAAGATGCATCACTCATTCTCTGTCTATCTCTCTCTCTCTCTCGTTCTTTGTGTAACACCCTCTCTTCTCTATTTCTCTCTTCTTTGAGTAATTCTTAATTCGTATGTGTTTCTCTCTCTCCCACTCTATCTATCTCTCTGTCTTTTTATAGCTTTTTTGCTCTGAAGTCCCAAGTATCTACTGCTTCCTTCCTTCCTATCTATCCTATAATCTGTGTATCTATCTATCTATCTATCGATCTATCTATCTATCTATCTATCTATCTATCTATCTCTCAGCCTCTCTTTCTCTCTCTCTCTCTCTCTCTCTCTCTCTCTCTCTCTCTTACTCTATCTATGTCTCTGTCTTTCTGTAGCTTATTTGCTCTGAAGTCCCAAGTATCTACTGCTTCTTTCCTAAAATCTGTCTATCCATCTTTGGTAGTCTTTCGTTCTTTCCCTGTTTCTCTCTCTTTCTCTCTCTCTCTCTCTCTCTCTCTCTCTCTCTCTCTCTCTCTCT